TATAGGAAAAATGAAGATCTAGTGAATGATTGACTTTGAAGATTATAAGGTTAGCAAAAAACAACAAGAACTTTATCTTTATAGAAAATTGGGCAGTACTTTGTTTCAATTCAAGAAAACGCAAAGAACAAATGAACCGCAGGGAGCGGTATGTATAGGCAAAGCAATGATGACTCTTTAATGGACACAACATGTGTCAACACGGCGCTTACCTCTCGGTTTAATCGATGTTTCGGCCACTTTCCCAACCACTCAGAAGAGGACATTTTTCACGCGCTCAGCAACAACAAAGCACACCCCTTGACACCTCGATCAATTTCTGGATACATGTCGGCCAATTAAACAAATACTTCAACCATGACAAAATAAGCACTCTATTTACCTTAGGCAACACTTCGGCTACCCCAAAATGATATATTCAAGTCACTTCAGCCTAACACTCATACATTGATCCTCCTTTAGCAGCAATACAAAGACAAGGGAATCATAATCCCTCACCGCAACAACCGGAGAACAAAAATCTTGACACCGCATCACCCCTCAAGGTAGGCCCATTAGCGGTGGTCTTCGACCAGCGCCCCTCATCCAAGGATTTCTTCCGTAGGGATACCTTGGTTAGGGTTCACTGATGATATTGGAACCACGGACTAACTCACAAGTGGCACCTCAATATACAACTACCTACTCTTCAATTCATACTACCTCTTGTCTTGAAGGGGTGGGGGACTGGGGTCTATACCTTGGCAAAATCTGGAAAATGCAAAAAAGTTCAAATCAAAGGAAGATCATCAAAGAGCTCTACCCCCTTTCACCTTGTGGCCTCTTGACTCAGATAGTGGGCTACTCTTGATAGAGTATATGGTTCAAGACCACGACCCACATACTCATATATATATATATATATATATATATATATATATATATATATATATATATATATAAATGGCACAAGCAAAGAACAAGGGTGATATCACTCACATGAGCCCCTCAGCAAGATGAGGGTCCATGCCTAACAAAGCAACTAAGAGCAACAAAATCAGACCATGAGCGTCCTGGACAAGGACCACGGGGACGAGGTCTCCAGACCCTCGTCCTGGATCACCTCATCCAAACACTCGGGAGATAACCAACGAAGCCACGCGATACATTTTGCCACATAGCAGAGCTCTCACATTTAGAGTAGTTTACATGTTCACGTGCAGTTAATGCACCTACCATTTATTACTAATATAAATACCCCTCGGGGCAGATGTAAATGGTTCACAAATCAATTATTATCACAAATCTTTTTCTCTCTACTCTCAGCTCTTTTCCTTCTCTCTAGATACCACTAACGATGTTCCGCATCACCTGTAATTTTTAAAATTTACAAATACAACACTATAATTTTTAATATTTATAAAAATACCCCCGTATCCTATATTTTTTGTGTCGTCAAACCCCCTACTTATATATGTGTTCCCGTATCCGTGCGACATGGATGAAATCATTGTGCCCAATATTGAGATGATGGCCCGACAGCCCGCATTGTGTTCCGCGGTTTAATCAAAGAGGGATTTGAATGTTTTTATTAAGACTAAATCAAATCACACTTAATTGTTTCATGAATTTATGAAACATATATAAAATGCGAAATATTCACTTTTATAGCACTACGGTGCACTTTTATGTTCATGTTGTACACCTTTTAACGTTTGTAACAAAGTTCACTATTTATAAAATTGTAAAATTATTTTTTACAACTACTTAAATTGCAGTAGCTTACCATACAAATGCAGCAATCAACGGTGATTATAAGTGTATTTCGCACTTTCCACACGTTAATGACATTTTTATTTGACCTACACCCTATACAAAATAACGTAACTGTACTAGTCTTGTATATGTTTGTACACTTGGTCTCTATTTTACTCTTATATTGAACAATTTCTTATCATTATGCAATAAATCAATGGTTGCGAATTAAAATATAAGTCATGTTGATTTTTTTTGAATATATATGAGTCATGTGCACTAAAACTTTTGCTAGCTCGCGATCGTTTAATTCTTGCTTTGAATAAAAGTAGTTGTTTAAACTTTTGCTTATAGCTAGCTAGGAAGTAATACATATAGTGATGATGCAGAGCCAGAGGTTTGTCCGAGGTATCGAAGAATAAAAAATTTAAGTGCGTGTTCAAAATATAATAAGAACAACAATAGAGTAATAAATTAGCACAAAATTATAGTGCATTACATACTACTTGATTCATTTCTCCAACTTGGACAAATCAATCCTTCGAGTTTTCATATTTTGAAAAAGCTACATAATAGCTTCATTATCAATTGCTTGAAAATTATCTCTTTCGATGTAGCATACTAAACAATCCGTAAGATAATCATCTCTCATCTTATTATGAAGATTTGTCATCATAATATTCATTGTTGATCAGAAGGCTCTTTCAACTGTGGCTGTTGCAACTGATAACACTAGAGCCAACTTTATAAGATAATAGACCAAATGAAAATATTTGTGAATTGTAAGCTCAACCATCTTCTTAGATACTTCACCAATACTTTGCAAGGTGGGAAATGCTTCATTTCATCTCATCTCATATATCAAAGAAGCGGGGGCATGAAATATATTATAAGTAGTGCTAGTAAAAAATGGGCCGAAGCGGGGGCGCTTGCCCCCTCATGCCCCCGCCTAGCTCCTCCACTGCTCCTCGTTGATCGAAGAAAATAGCTAGAGGGCAGAGGCGTTTTCTGAAAATATATAACCATTTTTCCCTAAAAATTCCAAAAATAAGATTGAAGTAAAAACCTGTTAAAATTCCAAAATAAATTGTAATGTTTTTATTTGTTTATAGGGGGTAACAATCAAAGTCGGTCGTGTTCATTTTTGGGCCTATAGGCGATACGCTATTTTGGGCTTATATCCAACACAGCCCCTAAACTATATAATTATTTGAAATATGAATTATAATAGGAGTATTTAATGAAGTTCATAAAATAAAGGAGGAAGTCACTTTAATACTCCGTATTATTTAAGTTACATGTTTGGGAAAAAGTAACAACAAGAGTATTGAATAAAATAATGAAAAAACATTACTTAAAAACGTTTCTCATAGAAAATTGTGCAGCAAGCATCAATAATCGCTTCATAGGCAACCTTCTTTCCACTAATAATATGACAAACAATAAAATTGCCATATAGAACAACACTAAACTTTCTTTCAACTCAGTTATGATTAAAAGGATAAATGAAAAGAAATATTATTACATATTGAATTCATAAGTTGATAATTATTTATTGATCACTGATGAGAGTCTAAAGTTTGAATCCTCGAAAGAATGAAGGTTTTCAAATAGACAAAATGTTTTGCCGTCAAGAAGACTCGTGCAATTAGAAGACTGTCAATTTGATGTCCTCTAAAAGTACTATTAGGAACTCGGATATAGTTATTGAAATTTGGAAACAAATAAATATTTAATTTGGGATGTGATTTGAGAGCCACATGATCTAAAATAATTATATAAATTTGTTATGTTATATTAAAATTAATGAAAAGCTTTAAAGAGATGTGAAGACTGAAAACTGAAAAGGCATACCTTTTATTGATCTAACAACAAATGTATTCCTTCTAAAAACTACAACCGGCCTACTTAAAGTTAGTGTGTTTATTCTTCTTTAAACTTGGCTTTGTTTAAGACTTATTATTTATTTTTTTAAATTTTCAAATTGTCAACAAAATTGAACATAGGCCTAATCAGTGGTGGACTCGGGCCGGGCCGGGTCGGGTCCGGGCTGGGCCGCCGGTTCTGAATAGGTGGGCCCGGGACCGGCCCGGGTAGCCACTGATTCAGGCCCAGACCCGGTGGCTACCTGGGCCTGAAATATTTCGGGTCTGGCCCCAGCCCAACCTGAAAAGTTAAAAAAATTGAAAAAAAAATTGAAAACCCCGGAACCGGGCCTGAACCGGCCGGGCCGGTTCGGCTTTTGGTTGACCCGAGCCGCACCGGGAACCCCCGGCCAGGCCTACCTGGACCATCACTGGCCGGGCCACCGGGCCGGGCCGGGCCGGTTCAGCACAGTACCGGTCCCGGGCCGGTTCCGGGTCGGGCCACCCGGCCCGAGTCCAGGACTAGGCCTAATTAATTGAACGCAATGTTCTAAAAGGCGTTAGTTGGGCGCTAGCCCAGCGCCTAGCGCCTAGGCGGCTAGGCGGGCGCCTAGCGCCTAGTTGGGAACTAGTCGGAACATAGAAATTGCATTTTTATCTATATTTTTGCATAAATATGATAAGTAATATTGTATTCTTGTGTGAATAAAATACACATATACACATACATTAACAAACATGAATGATAGAATTATCACATTTAATCATACGTAGTATATGATAACTAAACAGTTAACTTCATTATGTTATAAATATAAATAATAATAAAATTTAGGTGTATATACAAACACATATAGTCTATATCTTAATTTACAACTTCATTATTTTATATCCATGTAGAGTTAAAGTACTTATATCGCTTAGAAAATAAAAATTGAAAAGTAAGGTAATGTTCGGCGAATCTAGACGGCCTAGGCGGGGACTAATTCATCTAGATGACAAACCAATTAGTCAGAGCGCCTAGATGAAAATCGGGGCGTCTGACCACCGCCTAGCGCCTAGGCGGGGACTAGTCTAACGATTTTTAGAACAGAGATTGAACGTAAGAATAAAACAAACTACTCACACTATGTATAAAGAAAAGAAATTGGGCCTATTTTTTTCTATTTTTTCGGGCCTGAACCCCCGCCCCCCAGAAGGCCAGAACCGGTCCCGGTAACAATTGTCAACCTTGAGAAAACATTAACATATTTAAAGTCTGGTAATATTTCAAAATGTGCTATTAACATATTTAATTTTAATTACCTATATTTAGGGATTAAAAACATGACAATCATATCTTAAAATTTACAAACGTTTTAATTTTTTATTTTATTTTACAAACACCGTACATGCATGCAGGTTGTGGTGCTGGATTTTAAGGAAGGTGTGGGCGATACTGGTTTAGCAGAAGCGATGAAAGTGATCGCCGAATATCCCGATGTGAAATCCATCTCTAGAGTAAAGAATATATTCACAGTTACAGGGCTGAGTGGAATTGCAGATAATATTCTGAAGCATGTCAAAAAACGAGGTGCGTGCTACCAAAACAACAATGTCAAAAATACGAAAGTGGACACTAAATCTGTACCTGTGGAGAAGGAGAAGAAGAAGGCAAATGATCAAAGTAAGGTACGCATACAGCATGTCATACGCACATTGATATAATTAATGATAATATTAAATTCTTAAGTCTTACCAATTTGTTTTGCAAAGTCAACATTTTTTGGTCAACCAATAATAAAAGTCAAACTTTTCTATGGATAATTAATTCAATTTTTAATAATTAAAATTTACATATTCAAAAATTACATTAAAATCTCTTCAAAGTTGTAAACTCCAAATTAGAAAATAATTAAAAACTGACATCCTAATTAAGTAAACAAAACGAGACTGTTTGAGTAAGAAAAGTCAAATTTGCAACTTTTTGGGGGACGGAGGTAGTACTAACTTAATTATATTCAATTTTTGCACTTAAACAACTAATATTTTCCGTATTTTAAGTTTGTTATGCTTTTCATTTTGAAATGTATTTAAAAGTTTAATTTGCTACAATTTTCCCTTTTTAGTATATTTTCCGTTTAAAAATACTCAATTATCCTTACTTTCACTATTTTTATCTTCCATATCATATTTTTACACGTTTCTCCTACTTTTTCTACACTATGATTCATACTGCTTTTCTTCTTAAATAATGTGGCAAAGCCCATTGTAACAATCTTTAAAGGGAATTTTTCACAAATAGACTAAAAATTGAAAGCAACATCAATTTTATCACTCTTTAAAGTTCCTTTCAAAAATAAACTTTCTTTCTTTCAATTATAGACACGGAAGGCCTGAAGGCCCGGAACACTAATGCTACCGTTTAAAGTAACGGTTGCTCATGAAAGAATGAAAATTAACTGACGTGCTAATTCTATGCTCTAACTTGTACTTACGAACTCAAGAATTTGAAAATTTAATGATAAAAATACAAAAATGGTACAACAATGCAAATAAAGAAATTGCAACAAATTTATATATTCTCAAAATTACGATGACAACTCCAATTTTAAAAAGGTAATAAAATACAACAAATGCTTGAAATTTATAAAAGCATAAAAGTATAAATAATTTAGGGCTGATATCTTGTAGTTATTACTGCCAAATTAACTTAGGGCTCATGGTACTACAATGATGATAATGATGATGATTATAAAAGCTAAGAAGTATTAGGCAATTGTTTATTTTCATATATACTATCCTCCATTTTTTTTATTATCTAAGTAAAAGCTAAGAAGTATTAGGTAATAGTTATTAGGGAAGTATTAATTATCTAATACTCCGTATTAATTAATTATCTAATGATGTGTTCTGCTATCCTCTGTTTTTTTATCGCAACATGTTGAATTTTATATTATTCACATGTTCTACTTTGACTACATTTTATGCTATTATTTTATGAAAATTATTTTTTAAAAAAAATAGTATATTCAATTCATCTCATTACAAGTTTTCGAAATCAGATTTTTATTTTTTTTATTAATAGAGATTAAGATATAATTACGGTCAAAGACGTGCGTTGGCACGTGTGAAATGTTGACCATTGCAACCAAAAAAGAACGGAAGAAGTATGTTTAATTTATATAAAAACGGGTTATGTTTCATGTGAGAAATGCATATATTGTGAGGGGTGTGAATGATATTCAACCGTTGAATTTACAATGTTGACTAAAACAGAATTTAAGTTTTTATGATACTACACAAAAACAATTTCATGTTGCGCTAATATTTGACAAAACCAATTTTATTAAATACTTTGTGTTTGAGTACAACATTAAGCTCTTGTAGCACAACATAATTGAGTTACATTCTCAGTTTCTCACTTGTGCCTAAAAGTTTTCTTCTTCTTCTTCGATGACACCCATAATAACGGACACATATTTGGGTTGACGTGAGATGCAGAAAGTAGTGCTGAAATTGGATGCAAACGAGAAATTTGAACCGGAAGAAGCAGAGAAATATATGCAAGCAGCCATGGAAATAGTTGCGGGGCTTGAGGGATTGGATTCCCTCTCCATAGACGTTGAGAAGAGGCTGCTGACAGTGACAGGCATCGCAAATCCGGGGCAAGTCCTGGTCAGGCTTAGGGTCAGGGGTTCCCTGCCCTACCAGAGGACAACATTTGTGTCTGTGGGTCCCAAGAAAGCAGAGGACAAGCCGAAGCAACCGGATAGTAAAACAACAAAAGGTCCCACCAATAATCCTATTGTCAATCCAGTCATCCCGCCTGCTCCACTCGGTTATTACAATGAAGACGCTTATACTCCCTTTTATTATGACCCGCCCCCAATGCACCCGAGTGGAGGGTATGGTTGGGGGGCTCCCCCTCCCTTCAAATCTTTGTTTGGGTGGTAGTATATCTCTAGCTGAATGGAGTACATTGTACAATATATACTCATAAGCTACTATTCTCCATGGGATCGTGAATATTCATCTATATTTTATTTAATATCAATTATAATAATTCTGTTTCTTAATAGGTGTGGACAAAATGCCGAATCGGCAGGGTACATTGGTAGTTGGTACCAAACCGAACCGATATGGTACCGGACCGAAAATGAGGTTTGAAACGGATCTCAAATTTTTTGTCCCGAACCAGAGCGTACTGGTTCCAAAACAATGACATGACCGGTTCTCATAAAACGAGAACCGGTAACGGATCAAACCGGACCGAAGTATGATTTAATTATTTAAATGTACATTTACATCATTACTTTGATAATTTGATTATTCCCTTCACACTTTCACAGTATTTGCTAGTTCACTAGAAGTTTGGAATTAACCAGACTAAAGTATAGTTTAATTATTTAAATTTGTACTACTATAATTTATCTAAAATTTACTCCCTCCATCTCACAGTTAAAGTCACGGTTTGACTTTTGCGGTCTCCTAGACGAACGTTTGACCGTAAGTACCTATTAATATATACCTATAGAATCTATAATAAATTGACATTTGAATAATACATATTACAATGAAGTATATTAAATAATTTTTTGGAATAAAACATTATTATTTTTGGGTAATAAAAAAAATAAAAACTGATGCCTGGGTGAAAAATAATCATTAGTCTAGACCTTTACATTGATAAAATGGAAGGATCAGAACAAATTTTAAAGCAAACAATACGGTGGCAATATGGTAAATATGTACAACTTTTATTGGACTCGCTAAATTAAAAGTGCATTGGTGTGTTGAAAAAAAATGCAATATTCATTGTGTGTGTGCGCGTGCGCACGTGTATTTTATAAATATACACAAGTAAATACGTTTAGCCTAGCAAAAAACGTAAATATGTTTCGTTGTTTCTTTATTTTTACAACTACAATTTAAATATGCCTTCACTTTTGAAATAGATTCCTAATCCAAATTAGGAAATCTTTATATGTTTGCAAATTCCTAATTTTATTCAATACTTTTAGGATATTTTTAAGTGGATTGATTTCATTCCCAAACTAGATTAGTTCAAATCAAACTTTGATGATGATGATGATGATGATAGGACACATAAAATGTAAAACAAACATCTAACACACCATATTAGTTCAAACCAAATTAAACCCAAAAATTTTAATTCAATTAAAAACGTCCTTATTAATGACATTTTCAGTGTGACGAAATAATCAATTAAATGTAAAAAACACCATTTTAACATTTTTTAATGTGACAAATTAGTGAGTCAAATGTAAGATTTTACTTTTAAAAGTTAAAAGTATAGTATGTACTCCATATTTTATACCTGGTTGAATGTGGAATATTAAATAAAATATTTTTAGATGCATAATAAAGTAATTTAGAGGATGTGAGATTAATTAAGGAGTTTCTTTTTGAATTACTGAATTCTTTAAAATCCGATTGACAACAACTATTTTTAATTGAGATGCTTATGTAGAAGATCATTTTAATTATTTTTCAAATATTTTTTTTTATTCTACAATTGGAATACATTTTAATTTTTTTCTTCATGATTCACGAGATTCCGTCCATTCAACCCATTCAGCCAGAATTTAATCTATTTTAGCAAAATAAGGTGATTCGACTCATTCTAGTATTATCAAATGGACTCTATTTAGACTGAGTTTATTTTGCTTTTGCATCACATTATACGTAGTATATGATTTTGAAAAAATCAAATTTAAAATTAGCTAAATAAACTCAGTCTAAAATTAGCTAAATTACGTACTGCATATACATCGCACGGACTTGAAAACTAGTAAAAGTTACTGTTACATTATAAAACGCCTCAAAATTGTTTAGAATTACAAAATTATCCCGTGTACACGTAGACGCGGCTGTACAGTGTAATTTTTCAAAGTAAAAGGCGTGTCAAAATATCGAAATTTGTCTTAAATTCGTTCTTTGCCCAGATTTAATTTCAATCCTGCACAGTCAAGTCAAGAACTCACATAAAAAATCCAGTAAAATGGTGATGTTAGAATCTTCGGCAGCTGTCGCCGTCCAAATTCCATCGCGGAACTTCAACCGCCCGTTCTCACATTGTTGTGGATTATTTATCCCACGGTACGAGCTGGTGCTGATGCAATTACTCTAATTTTGGCTCAGAATCTTAAAGAAGATTTGTTTATTGTTTTTTTCGCAGGAGAGCAGTTGCGGGGTTGATGGAAACTTATTGCGGGAAGAGGTACGGGAGGGACAATACAGTCATTAGGGCTTCCGCTAAGGAGCAATTCAGCTCTAAGGGATCGGAGCAGTTGAAGCAGCGCTCAAAGCCAATGAGATATCATCCGTCCGAGGACATTGTGGAGCCGGAATTGATGGAGGGCCGTGAAGCTAGACTTACACCTGCTGAAACTAGTAGAACAATCATTGAGGTGAAAATGGCTGCTTCTTCACTATTGATGTTGACTTTGCATTGAAGCTTTCCTTGAATGTTAAAAAGTCTAGGCTTTGCTTTGTTTGATAGGCTATTGTAGTTTATCTCACACGGTGTATGTCATGGGCAACACTATTATTTTGCCAAAAAAACATTGGGAATAGGGATGGCTTCAGGAGATTTAGGGGCCATAAGGAACCTTGGTGGTGAGAACTGAATGTAAAAGGTAGAAGTGAATATTAAGGCTAAATACAGATACAGTTTTGAAGAGCATTTGACTTTCCGTGAAGAGGAGGAAAGGGCTAGGACGAGAGCAATGCATTGCAATGCTAAATGTATAATTTACATAGCAAAAGGCTAATCTTTTATTCTTATTCAAATTGCTCCTGAATATCAAAATCTTCATGGTCCAGCCATTTATTCTCGTCCTTTCCCATTTTAACAACTTTTTCTAATTTTATTGAGGAAAGTAAATCTAATTCACTTTCCCTCAAAGAGTTAAACTTATGATATTGGTCTACTAACACATACATAGTATTTATTACTCATTTTTGCGTATGAATGATTATATGCACAGTTGTCATGGCGTATGGCGATGACACATTTATGGCGTCACCACACGACACAAAAAATAAATACTGAAAATATAATATGTTGACACTATAAATCTGTTATTCAACAACAAAAAATGAGCAAAAAAATGAATAACCACATTCTTACCAAAATATGTGAAGTGAAAATAGTTTAAATTTAGTTCCAAAAATAACTTAATGTCCAAAGGTAACCACATTCTACATTTTATGTTTTATGCAACATTGAGTTAATATACTTGCAGGGAGTTTTTGCCTCTTTGGTCCCCTGACTATTGTGTTAGTGACATTTTTGGTACTCGACTTTCAATTTTTCCATTTTTAGTCCCCAATTATTATGCGAGAGACACTGTTAGTCCTCGACTTCAAAGTTTTCCACATTTAGTCCCCTGAGTATTATCATATTGATATTTTTAGTCCTTCCACTAGGATTTTAACACAATAAGTGGAGGACTAAAAGTGTCACTATTATAATAGTTGAAGGACTGAAAGTGTCACTTTTATGAAAGTCAAAGGACTATATATTGAAATTTTCAAAGACGGGTATCAAAAGTGTCTTTTGCACAATAGTTGAAGGGCTAAAAGTGGAAAAAATAAAAGTCGAGTACCAAAAATGTCCGTGACAGAATAGTCAGAGGACTAAAAGTGACAAAAAATCTACTTGCAGGGCAAGCAGATACAAAGTGTTTTGAAATTCGTTTTATAGTTTTTTTATGTTTATTCAGAACTCAAAACTAAAGATTGTTTGGAAGTTTATCTTCTTTAATGAAGTTGTATTTTTATACTTGCGCGCTTCTAGTCTAGCCCCCCTCTAATTTTGTACTTTCTTTTAACTAATAAAATGTGATAAATGTTCCCCAACATTTACCTCATTGATGGGTGGTTTACCTACCGGGTTTAAAAAACACTTGTGCAACTTCTATGGCTCTGCTTTAATATTAGCTCTCTATTTACTTGGGTTATAACTTATACGGGGTTTTTTATTTATATTATGGGTGGGCTCACTGGTTAATTAGTAGTCTGGGCCAAAGCCCAAAAGATAATTAATAGACCATGTTAATTAGTAATCACCGAGTAATTCTGAGTATCGGTCCTGCTCTCTACTTCGCCCTTGACCGAGTTGCCACTGAGTAGCAATTTATCTACTTAGACTGCACCTTGTCATACTACGTATGTCTCATGGAAAAATATAGGGAGCATAGCAACTAGCAAGACTTGCACATGATGCTTAAAACATGGAGAATGCTTATAGCAGTGTACCGTGTGAAGTTATTTGGAGGAGTTTGGAGGTTAGAGGGGAGTTGTAGATATACATGAGGGCGCTACAAGGCATATACACGCGAGCAAAGTCCTGTGTCAAGATCCTTGTGGGAAACATAAATTTCTTCCAAGTAGTTATAGGGCTACACCTGGGATCAATGTTAAGCCCATTCCTATTGCCGTGATTTTGGATGTGATCTTCAGAAAAACACAGAAGAGCATCCCATGGCATATGCTTCTTTCTTATGTCAGTGCACTGATTCCTGAAATGAGAGAATAGCTGAACCTGAAGCAAGAGCAGTGTAGGACATTAATGACTCTAAGATTATGTCTGGTGCAACATCAGCAGGATAACAATATGAAGAGGGTAGAAATTAGCACTAGAGAGCAAAGAGTTCCTCAAAACTACAGTTTCAACTATTTGAATTCTATCATCCAGGGGGAAGAGATCAAGAAACAATGTCACACCCTGTATTGAGGCAGTGTGATTAAGTAGAGAGTTGTCACGAGAGTGTTGTGCGTCAAGAATGTCCCACTATTATTGAAATGGATATGCTACAAGGTAGCCATAAGCCATCTGACAAATCCTTAATGTATGGGTCTTAGTGTTGGGCTATAAAGAGGGCGTGTGAGCGAAATTTGAAATAGTGCAAATGAGGATGTTACGATGGTTATGCAGCCTTCCCACGTTGGAAGAATACCAAATGTCATTTTCCAGACTGAGTTTGGGGTAACACCTATTACTGAGAAAATAAGAGAGAGAAGATGGGTGGTTCAACCAACACGAATGAAGAGGTGGAGAGCGCTTTGGCCTTGACCTCTAGGGTGTGAGGAGAGTCAAACCACGAAGAAAGTAGATGAGTAGCTTAGGTTGTACTTGGCCATTTTAAGCCTCTCCATGGACAATTTTTTTATAGATATTCGTGAAAAAATAAGATTAAGTGAAACTGTTAGGAATACATCTTAACTGTTAGGAATAAGACTAGGTTCAATTGCATTATTTATCTTTGTATTTGTGCATTAGTTAAGTAGACCGGGTTAGCTTTGTATTTGGGCCCGTAGGCCTCATGTATTTCTGAAGGCTAAGCTTTCGTAAACCTAACATTTTTTTAACTTTGGCATTAGGGCGTCTATACGTTCAGAGAGCTGAAAGCTGTCGTTCACTGGAGTTATTGAATACCTCAATCTGTAATTCTCGTAAAAAAATCCTCCTACACTACACACAAAAGCAGAGAAAAATGGTCTTTGGTATCTGCTAAATATTTAAGTTATCATGTCTGCAAGTCTGCCCGTGCAGGGAGTGTGAATTTTCAATTTTCAAATAAAGGGCTGGAATCTCATGTACTTCAGAAATCCCCTCTTCTCCTTCTCTTTTTACTCCTTAGGAAGAAGTGTTGCAGATAAATAAGCTCAAAAGTTTCCTTAGAGTTTAGGTGTGAGAAAGATTAACAAGCTTAGTTTATATTTCACTTGAAATACTCAAAGCTTTTCCTACTGCTACACCTTAACATTCCAAGAGCTACTTTGCGGCCCATTTGAAACTTGTAGTCCAATTTCCAAATTTAAAATCAACACTACGTCAAGGCTTCCAAAAGTCAACCCTTGGGATAAAAAAAGTCAAAATTTGTGAACTTCTTTGGATCAAGAGAGTAATCTCAGAGCTAAAAACGGAGATGGATCTACCTATGAAGTTGTATTGTGATAACAAGGCAGCCATTAACATTGCTCATAATACAGTACTACATGATCGTACTAAACATATTGAACTGGACAGACACTTCATCAAAGAAAAGATTGAAGCTGGAGTTGTGTGCACACCATTCATATCTACCAAAGATCAAACAGCTGATATCTTCACCAAGGGATTGTTCATACCAATGTTTGAACTACTTACTTATAAGCAAGTTGGGGATGTATGATTTATACTCACCAACTTGAGGGGGAGTGTAGAAAATGTTACATTAATTGTTAATTATTAGATGTAGTACATGTGTATCCGTGTAGATAAGTTTTAAAGTTGTTAGCCTTCATTAATTAGTAGATAAGCTTTGTAGTTAGCTAGATCCTATTTTTTAGGATCTCCACAGGGAGGTTGCTACTTGTACATTGTATATATAATCTGGCCGTATGGCTCACTGAAATCAAGGAAGATTAATTCCCAAAACCTACAGTATCATGTGTGGATGCCAATCGAATAACTGCTTTCGTAATGAAGCACACACAAACTTGAATAGAGTACCAGTGGCTCCAACCCTGCACGATCTTAAATGGAACTGGCTAACTAAAAGGAGTTAATACTTGAGTGCAACGGTAATTTGCAGGTTAACAGCAAAGCAACACTTATGTTTACAGGTTTAGTCAGCAATGAGGCACATGAGAACATTTTCTGGCCAGATTTGCCTTACATAACTGATGAACATGGAAGTAAGATACGTTACTGCATTTAACATTAGGTATTCTGCTAGAGTACAAATTCCTGTTGAATGTCTGTTTTAATGTTTTCACCTTTTGTCAGACATTTACTTTCAAGTCATGAATGAAGAAGACATTCTGAAGACTCTGGCAACCGAAGAAAACCTTCTGGTATGACACACAGCTTAGTGATTTCTTAGTAGTTTAACATCCTGAGCTTTTTATGTTCTTACATTTATTTTTAAAATTTGTACTTGGTGCAGCAAGTTTTTATTGGCTTAGATACCGCAGAAGTGATAACTGAAATGCAGTCATCAGGCCAAATAGGTATTGATTTTGGCATTGATGAATTTGATAATGAGGATATTGGTATTGATGATGAAGACTGTGATGAAGATGAGGATGACGATGACGATGTCAATGACAATGATTATGAAGAGGTGACTTATTTCAATACAGATATGTGTAGCCAATGACTTGTGGTCCAGTTTATTAACTGTGTCTTATTTGTTTTCCAGGGATGGGTTGCGGTCCTTGACCAGGAAGAAGACACAGATGATGATTCTGAAGGATCACTTGGAGACTGGGCTAAGTTGGAGACAATGCGGTCTTCTCATCCTATGTACTTCTCGAGAAGGCTTTCTGAGGTTACCTTATTATTTGGCATATCTTAAATGCAAGCTTCTCATTTTTTAATTTGCAAATTGAGCCTTCATGTTTCTAGTCTTTTGATGACGTTTTCTTTAGTGTTCAGGTTGTAAATGATGATCCTATAGATTTCATGGAACAGTCTCCAGTAGGCCTAGTTATACAAGGAATTGTAAGGCCAGCCTTCCTTGAAGAACATACTGTCATCCAAAAGCAGATCTCTGACAGCAGAACCATTGATGCTGATTGGAGCCGCATTGCAGAATCTGCAGATTGCAATGAAACAACTATTGTTCCAATAAACATTCACAGACAGAATAGTGGATCAGATCAAGATGACCCAAAATGTACTGAGAAGTTGGAGAAGGATGAAAACCTTGGAAATGGAACCTCATTTTACAAGCTAGAAGTGGTTAAGATTCATTTTATTTCTTCTCATGGACATCAGGTAAATTACTCCCTTGTCCCACTATCTTTGTTCCATTTTTCTTTTTCACGTGTCCCAATAAGTTGTCTCATACCATATTTGGCAATATCTGTGTGGTTCTAATTCATTTTTACTTTATTCATACTTTACTAATTCAATACCAATTACCAACCACATAACTCAACTTTTCTTAATATCCACACACCCCTCATGTCCCAATCTTAGAGGGACGGACCAACAGAGGAAGTACTAAATTGTGTAAGCATTCTAGCCTGTATATCATAATGCCCAAGCTGCTTTGATGATCAAACTGAAAAAATAAAACAAGATAGCAAACCGCTAGAATTGGGTTACCCAGCTTGTCTGATTGACTACACTGATGCACTGCCATGCCAGGGGTTTTCACTAAATTTCTAAGAGATACATATGAGAAGGGGTAATAAATATGAAAACAATCACTGGACAAAAAGGAAACTAATCCTAAGGCATAACAAACGAGATCGTTCCAACCGCCCATCAAAATTGGCATGATCTCATTTTTCTTGGTTGGGCTTTATTATCCTGCACTACTTGATGTCTAGTCTCCACTCTCCACAATCCAACACTCAAACACAATTAGTCCTCTAATTAAAATGGTAAAGAAGCATGAAAAATAAGCATCAATTTTTTTTACCAGATTATGATATTGCTACCTCCAATAATAATAATGATAATAATGATAATGGTAACAACATCAACAATAACAACAGCAACTAAAAATAATACTCCGTAATAATATAATAATATAATAATAGAAAAAAACTAGTCATGATATTATGACTTACTGCCTTTCTGATGACAGACTTGTATTGAAATAGAAGATTTTCAAAGAGCTCAGCCTGATGCAATTGCGCAGCCAGCTGTAAAAATTTTGTCTCGTCTCAAAGCTGGTGGACAAAAGACCATTCAAGCTCTCAAATCCTTGTGCATGAGATGCAAGGGTATACAAGTTGAGGTAACATCAACAGTCCTTACAAAAGCAATTTCAATCATTTGGTTTAGTTGGATCTCCTGGGCAGTTTTTGCAAACTTAATGGTGTGATTCCTCCCTATCTAGTTGCTTCTTATATCTATCCTTCAAAGCTAAAGACATAATAAAAGAAATCAACTACTTTTCTCCCAAACCTGAAACAATATCTTCCAGTGAAAGTTGAAACATTAGTAATTGTGCGCCACATTTTTAGTAGCGACCCTACTTTTTTGGATGCCTGTTTTTAGTAAAGGATGACACAAGTAGCCTTCCTGGGAGGCTGGGTCTCTTCTCTCTGAAAAGCTGAAAAGGCCGCTTTGTTTAGGAATTGAACAAAGCTAGAGAGAGGCCTAGGGACGAGATTTACGTTGTTTTTCCGCTATTTTGTTCAAGACCCTGGGATTATTTGTAAGTTCATTCTTTTTAATTAATGACAATTATTTCTATTCATCCCAATTCTGTTGATCCGTCAATTATGAGTTGTGAGTAGTTTAATTAGGGATTTGGGATTGATAAAGGGGTTAATCATGATGTATGGCTAGTTTCCTGATGGATTAATTGCATGAATGCTGTTTAATTTGTGTTTGAATAATTTAACTGATATCTTTTGTAACCTAGAACGGCCGCTAGAATTACAATTTCTTGTAGAATAAATTAAGAGAGATCTAGTTTATTCTAGGACACATTCACCCACACTTAATCATTCGCTAAGAGATTAGTAGCGATTAAGGGGCCGTAAACTCGCTCGTCTTGGCAATAATTTAGGATCCTGTCGCATGAGAGATCAGCATGGTCCCCTAAATTATTGTACTCTACGCTGCGAGAGCGGTAAGAACTTAGTAACGAATTAGCTAGGCTCAATTAAATTAAATTCATGTAATTAAAGTAACCATCTTATTTTGTTTCCTATTGTTGTGTTACTAGGTTTGTCAGAAGTTGTGAAATCTCTCCTAATAATATCTATATTACTCCGTAGTATTCATGATTAGAATTTACATATTTAGAAACCGCACTAAAAATTCTGTTGGACCGCAACACTAAATTCGAATATGTTAAAATTTTGACACAAATTTGAAAAATGAAAAGAAATTTGGTTAACCCATGGAATTGCGAATGTTACAAGAAAAATGTGACAAAGAGTATTTATTTTAAATAATTGGAGCAATTGACAAAAAATTGATGGGGCGGTAAGGCGGTTACGTGTCACTATGTTTACCAGTGTGTGCAAGATCATTCTCATTAATCAGTCATCCCAGTATTTTTTCAATGATAAACATGGCAGGAAGTAGCTCTGATAGGTCTGGATAGCCTTGGCATTGATGTGAGAGTTTGCTCTGGAATACAAGTTCAAACATTACGCTTCCCATTCAAAAAGCGGGTATGCTGTTCTACATCACCATCACTGAGCTCTCAAGATGCCACTTTTTTGTTCAACACAGTTTTCAAACTTTCTTTCGCTATTTGCCTGAGGGTCTTGTTGTCAAAAATGCTTTTACCCTCCCAAGACTCTACTTCCTAGTATGATTTATTGGCTTTTTGGTTTAAATTTCTCTAAAACTTTGATAGTGAAATGTGATGTATTTGCAGGCCTCCTCGGAGTATAGTGCGGAGAGGCAACTGAACAATCTACTATTCCCAAGGCTCCAAAAGATGCAACTGAGGAAAGAAGCTCAGCAAACTGAATCTTGATGAAGTTCTGAACTGCCAGCTGTGACTATGCGTCAGGTTGTGTACCCTGGCTTAGAATATTGTACATAGTAGTATCAATGGGCGTTTCTCTGTTCCAGTTTCCTTTCTTCCTATATTTATTTTTATTTCCATTTTCCAGCCCTGAATATATTGAATGTAACTCTTCATAATTGTATACTACTAGTTACCCCCGGTGCAAGTGTACAGCATTATAACAGCATTATAACATTTGCGGATTTATTTAATACATACTTACAGAGCTGCAAAGGATGTGCATACTAATAAATTTAAGTGATTTAGTTTTTTTTTTGGACCCGGAGTTAACCACACGTAGTGCCGTGGTGGCGGGAGTGGCGGGGAACACTACCCAAATTTATTAATAAAAGTGAAAGTTGAAATTTAAGTGATTTAGTTATCTTTGTGTAATACTGAAGAAATGTGTAGTACTCCGTACTTGACTACTATACAGTACCTAGGTGGATTTGCACTAGGGGTGGACTCGGGCCGGGCCAACCGGCCCAGAACCGGACCGGCCCGCTACTGTGCGGGCCCGGACCGGCCCGGTCAACCGGTTCTTGACCGGTTCGGGCCACCCGGCCCGGTGGTATAGCGGTCCGGGCTCGGGCCTCCATTTTAGTGAACCGGCCCGGCCGGGCCGGGCCCGGTTCGGGCCTCCAACGGCCAGATTATAAAAAAAAAATTTTTTTTTTTAAATTGGAAGAGGCTCTCCTAGCCGTTGGGAAGGCTCCCAAACGGCTCTATAGCCGTTGGGAGCATAGGAGGGGGGGTCTGGGGGGTTAGGGGGGTGGGGGTGGGGGGTCGGGTGGGGGGTGGGGGTGGGGGTATCAAAAAAAAATCTATTTAAACTCCTATTTTCTCTACATTTTTTACATCTCTTCTTCTACAACTCTTCCTACTCTCTAATTCTCTACTCTAAATCTCTCATATTCAATCATCTTCATTCTTCATCTTCTCCAAATTCTTTCTACATATATATAATTTATATAATTATTATATCTACTTATATATTAATTATCTATTTAAAAATATATACTTATACACATTCATATTATAATTCTTTACACATTATATATACTATATAAGTATATATACTATACACATTCATATTCACTTGATATTTAGTCATTATCCATACTATTGTTATTTACTTATATTTACATATTACATTTAGTTAATATATACTTATATATATATATATATTAAAGTATTAAGTATAAGTGTATTACTCATCTTATAGTAATATACTTATATATTATATACTATAAACATTATATATACTATATATACTTATACACATTCATATTTATTTGATATTTAGTTTTTGGGATAAGGGTCAGATAGGGCCTCGAACTCGAAAAAAAATGTCAAATAAGGTCATATTTCGGATGCTCTGTCTGGCCGACGCCATTTGGGGCGGTTCCCGATGGAATTTTTTAATGAATTTTTTTGACTATCTTCCTCATTAAGTCTAGTTTACTCATACCAAATTTCAGCTAAAAATTCAACCGGGAAGGTAGTCAAATAATTTTCCGAAATGTACGGCGTTGTTTAACTTCACAGTTATCTTCAAAAACTCATTTGACTACCTTCCCGGTTGAGTTTTTAGCTGAAATTTGGTATGGGTAAACTAGACTTAATGAGGAAGATGCTCAAAAAATTTCATCATAAAATTCCATCGGGAACCGCCCCAAATGGCGTCGGCCAGACAGAGCATCCGAAATATGACCTTATTTGACATTTTTTTTCGAGTTCGAGGCCCTATCTGACCCTTATCCCTTAGTTTTTATACATACTATTGTTATTTACTTATATTTACATATTACATTTAGTTAATATATACTTTTATATATATATATATATATATATATATATATATATATATATATATATTAAAGTATTAAGTATAAGTGTATTACTCATCTTATAGTAATATACTTATATATTATATACTATAAACATTATATCATATATTACTTATAATAGTAGTTAATTGTTAGACTTCTAATTTATCTATTAAATTAGTTAATTGTTACATTTCTCTACATTTCTCTTTAAAGAAAAACATAGTTAAAGTAGTATATTTTTACATTTGTCATATTTCAATTAGTTAAAGTACTTAATTGTTTCATTTGTCATATTAAAATTAGTTATTTCATACATTGCTCATTAAAGTAAAAAAAAAAAAAACTAGTTAAGTTTTACATTTGTCATAATAATATTAGTTAAACTACTTAATTGGTACATTTTTCATATTAATATTAGTTACTTGCTACATTTCTCATTAAAGTAAAAAAAGTAGTACATTTTTTCATTTGTCATATTAATATTAGTTAAAGTATACATTTCTCATCAAGGTAAAAATAACTAGTAAATTTTTACATTTGTCATTTTAAAAACTACCTAAAGTAGTTAATTGTTAAAATTGTCATATTAATATTAGTTAAACTACCTAATTGTTACATTTCTCATATTAATATTAGTTGATTTGTACATTGCTCATTAAAGTAAAAAAAAAAACTAGTTAATTTTTACATTTCTCATATTTATATTAGTCAAAGTAGTTAATATTTAGTTAATTGATACATTTCTCATTAAAGTATTAATTAGAAGTAGTTCGATTTGTATACTCATATTTTAGTTCGAATTCGCAATAGTTTTCTTAGTCACATTTTATTATTACTATTGTACTCATATAAAATATTTGATATCATTTAATATTTGTTCAATTTTAAAGATGGAACGTGGTAGACATTCTGTAGATGTGGGTAATCTCCAACGCAACCGCAAGAGGGAGATTGCGTCGACTCGTCCTAATTCACGCAAAGGCAAAGGTAAAGCGCGGGCCGAGTCTTCTTTTCAAAGTCGAGATGATTTTGAAACGGATTACCAACGGAGAGATGATATGATGATGTCCGACGAGCATCTACAAAACCTATTGTCCCAAAACGATCCACGCTTTGCACAAGAACAACCCATCCCGACAACCATTGATGAAGAGGAGCTCGAGGATGACGATGCGGAGGAGGACGCGGGGGGCGACGGGACTCACGGCACCCCGGATGATGAGCAAGACTTGGAGGACGAGGGCGGTTCAACCCAAACTGGTAAGAAATCTAAATCTCCTATTATTGAAAACAATTTTACAAAGAGGAAAGACAAAAATACCGAAAAATGGTACGCAAGTTGCAATCATTGCGGCAAAGAGTATAGCTTGGGAACTTCTGGCGGATACGGGAGTCTCACAAGGCATCTTAAATCCGCCCATCTTGTGGAGTATGCGAAAATAGACAAGGGCAAGGGGAAGCAAACACAAATATCGAGGTTTGCAAATTCTCAACCCTTTGGTAATTTCTCCTATGATGATCAAAAACATTTGACTGGTATGTCTCATTTAATTGTTGAAGAAAATTTACCCTATATTTTTTCCGAAAGTCTTGCTTTAAGAGATTATGCTCAAGGCACTTTAAATCCTCAATTTAGAAATTATAGTCGCAAAACGATTAAAAAAGAAGTTATAAGGCAATATAACTTCGAAAAAGAAAATTTACAAACATTTTTCGCAAACTTTAATGGACGTGTTAGTATTTGTAGCGATATATGGGAGGATACTTATCATCATTTATATTATTTGGGTCTTACTGCACATTATATTGATGATGATTGGAATATGCATAAACGTGTTCTTGCATTTCGTGAATTCAATGATCGTCATACTGCTGATAATATTTATATTCTCATTGAGCGTATTTTAATTGAGTATAATTTGCTTGATAAGGTGTTTGCTGTAGGTTTTGATAATGCTAGTAATAATACTGCTGCTATACCTAGATTGCGTGAATTGTGTGGTGCTTCTACATTGATGGGTAGGTTTTTTCATCAACGTTGTGCATGTCATATTCTAAATTTGTGTGTACAAGATGGATTAGCGGCATTAGGAAATGCTTTGGAGGTAGTGAAGGGGGGAATTAAATTGATTTGGGCTAACACTCCACTAAAAATGCAATGGCGACAATATTTGAAGGAAAGACGTGTCAATTATTGTGCTTTTCCTAAAGATTTGTCTATTCGTTGGAATAGTACTTATAACTTAATTCAAGTACTTATTAGATATAAAGAACATTTTCCTGCTTTTTTAAGACAAACTTGTAACTATATTATAAACCCGGCTGACATCGACACTTGTGAAAAAATTGTTAATGTTTTGGTATATTTTAATAACGCAACTCAAACTTTTAGTCATGTTTATAAACCTACCGCAAACGAATTTTTTGTTGAAGCTGTTAATCTCGCCGGCGCATTTTTAGAATTTTCCGATGCCGCTTACGTTAGTTATTTTTGTGATTTCATGAAACAAAAATTTTTAAAATATTATTCACATGTTCCGCATATATATGGTATTGCATTTGTTCTTGATCCTCGTTATAGACTTGCCGCGTTGCCAAGTTGTATAGATTACTATTATAATTGTTTTTTTCCAACTCAAGAGTTCGATGATAATCCCATCGACCCTAAACAAGAATACAACGAGGTTAGTAATTTATTTCATCAATTGTATAATGAATTTTATGCACAATATGGTAATGCACCCCCTCCCATGCCGCGAACATCTTCTTCATCTAAAGGAAAATCACTTTTAAAATCTGCATTTGGTTCTCTTATGAAAAAAAGTAGAGCAACTCCCGCTACTGAACAAAGCTCAGTTAACGAGCTTTCTATCTATCTAACATTGAATGTTGATTATGAAGTTGGGGATGATTTTGACGTTCTTAAGTGGTGGAAGGACAATGAAAGAACGTTCCCGGTTTTATCAAAACTGGCTAAGCAAGTGCTAGCAATGCCGATATCAACAGTTGCCGTGGAACAAGAATTTAGTGCGGCCGGCAACGTCCTAACTGATTATAGAACGAGGTTGAGCCCGAGCTCTCTTGAGACGCTAGTTTGCTTCCATGATTGGTTGAAGGCCAAACGAAGAACTCAAGAAATGACCATCGCTCCCACCCGCCACTTTATGGAGGAAACAACCACCGAAGGCGGAGATTCCGATTAATTTTTTATTTCAAAATGTATTACATATTTTAAATGCATCCTAATTCTCAATTGTACTTCTTATTTGAAATAAATATACTTGAATTATTTTATATTATTGTGTACATCAATTCAATAATTCAATTCAATAAAATTCATTTGTAAACTTGTACTTCATATGTAGCACTTCTCAAATTAATTAATTGGTTACAATTTTACAAACTTATAAC